TGAACACACCAACTTTGACCTGTGTGACAAGTGACCAATCACCACACCCATCAACCTCATTATGCCAGTTTATGATCCTCCCTTCAATTGCCCCAATATTTTAATAAAGGATCTGCTTACTGAAGTAATTATTTGGGGGTGAGAAAAAGAGCAGGGTGCAAGGGTCAGGCACAGGAGAAGGTGGAGGGGAAGCCTGTTAGCTGACGTGACTGTTCTCCTGAGTTGAAGTCCTCACCCTGGAAATGCAGCCCTATCCTCTCAGCTCCAGCAGCCAGAGGGCCACCCTGTCCCCTCCCCACTGTCAAATCTGAAATCCTCTGCTGACCTCCCTTCAACTGGCCCCAACCTACAGCTAAAACGGACCCTCATCCTCCCAGGTACTGTTCTGGGCTTTGATCCCCCATGTCCTGCTAACACTCAGCCACCTCGTGGAGGAGAAGTGTGTTTCCATTTTCCAGATGAGAAAACTGGGGGTCAGAAAGCTGGAGTGATTTGCTTAAGGCCACACACACAGCCAGGGGACGGAGCGCTGGAACACAGGCCTCCCATCTCCACCCATGCTGCTGCCTCACCCAACAGTGTGCTCACATATCACTACCCACCCTGCCTCCACCATCACGCCTCCCCTTCCTCTGCCTCCCCAAACCCAGCCCTCCACGGGACTTCCCCAGAGCCTCCTCAATCATGGTGAGACTTCCTGCTTCCTTCCCCTGGTGCCCACAAGAACCGGCCACTTCTGTGACCTGAATAAGTGGCCAAGTTTGAAGACACCCAGGAAGGTCACAAACAAGCCTCTGGGGGAGGTGCCTCTAGGCTGCAAGCCCGTCTGCTCCCTCTGCCCCTGTGTACTGGTCTAGCTGCCCTGGACAGAGGGGCGCTCCACAGGGCCAGGCCCCATCTTATATTCCTGGGCCCTCCTCGCATTAGGCACTGGGCTGCATCAAGTCTCGATGGTACCCAATGCCTGGCCGGGCACCTGAGCTCTGAGGCAGGCAGGGTGCAGGAGGGCCCGATGCTCCCCTGGCTCCTCACTATGGAGAGGCCCTCCCCAATAAAAGGCCCTGATGGAACAACCACAGAAACCCTCCTCTCCAGGGGCTTGACTCGCAGTGAAAACTACACTCAGTTCCACAGGGAGGAGAGGGGGGCTGCAGGGGGAGGGGCACAAACACGAGAGGACACCTGCCCTTCCTGGAGCAGCACCGATGCCCAGCTCTGCTACTCTGTGTTTTACAACACTGGCATGACACCATGCGCTGCCCCACACCCACTAGCGTTGGAACAGGACTGGTCTCTAATCCCTGTGTGACAGGTGAGGATGCTGTGGTCCACAGTGTTAAAACCTGTTCCAGCTTAATTACAAGGGTCACATCTGGACTCAGGTTCAAGTTCAGAGCCCTCTTTAAAGAACCTCAGGCTGCCCTAGCTGGTTCGGCTCAGTGGATAGAGCGTTGGCCTGCAGACTGAAGGGTCCCAGGTTCGATTCCGGTCACATGCCTGGGTTGCAGGCTCGATCCCCAGTGGAGGGGCATGCAGGAGGCAGCCAATCAATGGTCCCTCTCATCATTGATGTTTCTCTCTCTCTCTCCCTCTCCCTGCCTCTCTGAAATCAGTAAACATATATTAAAAAATAAAAATAAAGAACCTCAGGCAAAAGCTTTGGTAAATGCTCTCAGCGTGGCACCGCAGCCTGCTCGCTCCTGTTTCTGGGCACCCACACCCACACCATGGGTCTGAATCGTCCTGAAGGAAGGGATCTGTGCTTCTCCACATCCCCATCCCCCAGGGCCTCTGGAATCTGCCAACCAGAAGTACAGGTGAAGGACAAACCTGTAAAATAGGCACAGGCTGGAGCACTCCTGTGGACAGCCCCGGGCAGTACAAGAGGGGTTTGCAGTCCTGCTGGTTCATAGGCGAGAACAGCGTCCTCGGGCCATTTCTGAACAACATCTTAACCTGGGCTGGGTGGCCCTCAGGCCCTCAGGTCACAGGCTGCCCCCTTTCCTGGGAGATGGAGAGATGTGTGCGGACTATCCCAGGCTGATCCCTGCCAAGCAATCCCTGTGGGAGGCAACCAATCGATGTCTCTCTCACATCTCTCTCTCCCCTTCCACTCTCTAAAAAAAAAATTTTTTTTAATGGAAAAAATATCCTTGGGTGAGGATTAACAACAAAAACATACTTGGAGAGTGGAGAATGAGCCTATTTAAAATGTACATGTGCAAGTACATGTGTATACACACACCCCCGTGGGCATGTATATGTATGTCTGCCTACACATATGGAAAACAGTGGCAATTCTTGTGAGTGGGATAAAGGCGTTGCCAATAGTTATTGGGGCAGGAGCTGTTGGTTTGTTAACAAACTCTACAATGATTCTTCAGAAATGGGCCTCATCCAAAAAATTCAGCAGACCCAGGAGTGAGAAGCTTCGGGCACCTGAGGAATGAGACCTTCTACTGCCACCAGCTACTGCCACCAACAACCCCAAGGTGTTTCCGTAAAGGGCTCAAGCTATGAATCTATAACTTGATCTTTGGGCTTGTGGCCATCCTGGGGCATCTGGGTGCCACCACGGGGAACACCTAACAGGACAGCACTTTATTTTAGTGGCAGATTTACGCTGGCAAAACCGCCATCACCAGTGTCGAGGTGGCTTTACTCTGAGGGGACAGAAAGAAAACCTTGTGTCAAAAATGACCGGGAAAACAATAACCCAAGTCTCTCAAACACTAGCTGCACTTTGAGACAACCTGTACGTACACCTTTCTTTTTAGTCAAAGAGTAAATAGTAATAGCCATCCGGTGCTAAGATGGGTAAGGTATGTAAAGCTGTTCTGGGCTAAACCTCCACATTTTGGGAGAGAGAAGAGTTTGCTGCTTGCCCAGGGTTCCTTTGGTGAAGTAGAACTAAAGTTATTCTCAGCTTGAACACGCTGGCTGCAGTCCTGAAAATTCCCCAAGGTTTACAATTAGCCACACATCTCCAAAGGCCAGCCTGAGCCCAGCTCTCAGACTGTTGAACGCGGCTGAACACCCACTCGGTGTGTGCACAGGCGACGCCCAGCAAGGAGATGTGACCCATCGCCCACCCGCCCCTGCCCCGGGATCCAGGCATGCCCGAGGCAGCGATGGAAGGAATTCAGCCTGTGGCTGAACCACTTTATCTCAGCATCCAGATGGTAGGCTCCTCCACCCCCACCCACAGAGCCTTGCTCTTTTTACTAACAAATCACACATCACTCCAGCTGGGCCAATCATGGTAAAGAAGAGTGGAGCCGGTCTGTCTAATGGAGCAGCGCTCCCTAATCTCTCGTGTGCACAGGTGTCCTGGGACCTGCCTCCGTTGTCTGATGAGGCCTGAGGTTTATCTGTTTAGGCTCTGGGCTTGGCCGGTGGGAGACAGGTCGATGCAGAGGCTGGAAAGGTCATGAGGGGCTGTGGCCGCTGAGGGTCTTGGCAAAAACAGGAGAGGACCCGTAGGGCAGTGCCCACTGGAAGCTGCATCAGATTAACAAAGGTCAGTGTACTGCCCAAAAGTCAACCTGAGTAGTTTTATCATCTTTGGCGAATTTTACCACCTTTGGTGATAAATCCCAAGTTCAAACAACAAACAGGAAACTAGAGGTGCCCAGGGCTCTCCCCTCCCCACTCAGTCACCCAAGTGGCCGGAGAGGAACTGCTGTTCTCAGGCCCCTGGGTCTGGACCTGCTTCTCTGACCCTTCCTCCCACCACATTCCCTCATCCCATCACCCCAGCCACAGGCACCTTCTCTCTGTTCCCGGGGACCTACGCTGAATAAGGACCCCAGGGTTCTGAATTGGCCTGGGAAGTTCTTACCCCATTCTTCCCATGGCCGCTTCTTCTTTTTAAAAAAATATGTTTATTGATTTCAGAGAGGAAGGGAGAGGGAGAGAGAGAGGGGAACATGCCTCCTGCATGCCCCCGACTGGGGATCGATCCCACAACCCAAGCATGTGCCCTGACCAGGAATCAAACTGTGACCTCCTGGTTCACACTGTAAACACTGAGCCATGCCAGTCGGGCATGGCTGCTTCTCATCAGTAGACCTCAGCTTAAATGTCACCTCCTCAGACACGCCCAGCCACACTGCTCTGTGCTTGGGGACTGTGTGGTACAGTGGCACATGATGAAACGTGCTGAATGATTGCACATAAAAAGCTGTAAGACACCCACCGGGAGCATCATCGTGCTCATGACTCCTTGATGGGGAGTGAGGGTGGTTGTAAAGGACACACAACTTAGTGTCTGAGAAAGTACTGTACAGGGAACCCGAGGGACCTCAAGGCTTTAGCAAAAGGAGACTTACCCCTGGGGAAAGGAGACCCAGTGCCCTGCAGTGATGGACAAAAACCCCAGGCAAGGCTGTCCCCACAGGAGGCAGCTCGGTCAGGAGGCCAATACTCTTCCTGGACAACGGGTTTGTTCAAACTCCTCAACACACACACAATATCCAGAAGGGTGCGTGGCACTTAGAATGTGCGAAGAACTTAAGGAGTCAAAAAATACAAATGCCAGGTGTACCCCCTTTTTAAAAGACTTGATTTTATTTTTGGTCCCACTCTGACAAGCGCACTGAGAGTAATTATAATAATTATGTCAGCTTGTGTTTCATTCAGCTCGCGTTCATGCTCACTTTTCCTGGGATGCGAGAACATGCCCAACGTTCCTTCATATTCAGACAACCAGGACGCCTGCCCAAGACCAGACACACACTCACAGGACTGTGCCAACAGCCTCCCAATGCCCTGAACATTCATCATCATTGTTCCCAAAGAACCAGTTCCTTCTACGGGAATCTGAAGACAATGAGCATTGCCAAGTGAACAGGAAAGCCAGGCCTCCTCCAAACGGGGCAATTCTGGAAAACAGCTCAGCAGAGGCACCTGGCGCCAGCGTCTACAGCAGACACAGAGGCCCAGGAGACCCGTGGGGGTGGGGGGCACCGAAGTGCCCACCGTCAGGGAGCACACAGTACCTGTAGGTGATCCTCACTTCCGTTCCGGGTTCGTCTCGCTCCCAGATCAAAGCAACGCTCTCTGGGGACTTCTGAACATGCCGATCCAAGCAGTTGACTGCACAAAACCAGGTTAACAGACATTAGACTCGGTGTTCTAAGAGTTTGAATCAGTGGGGAGGGGGGGCAGGGGGACTGGTTCGCTGTGACTTGCACTACTCTCTGATGAGGTGCACCCTTCCCTCATCAAAGGGGAGGTTTCTACTTCCTTGTAAGGAGAAGGGTGATTGTCAGAGCCTGGGAAAACAAGACAATAACTACCCAAATTTGACCTCACAGGTTTAGGGTGAGCCCCTGTGGACAATCTGAGGCAAGTACTTCACACCAGTAGTCTCAAGCCCAGTGACACATTGGTGTGACCTGGGCCTCCCCCAGGGACCCTGACCCAATTGACCTTGTGGTTTCAAGGCTCCCAGGGTGGTGCTAATGTGCAGTTGGGGCTGAACACCACAGCCTGAGCTGTTGGAAAGAATATTTCATGCAAATAGGATGCTCCTGATGCAATTCAAGGTTCATGCCAGGGGCTCTCGCGTGTGGTAGAGATGCACACAGTCCAGGCCAAGAAGCCACATTCCTTCTCAGGTGTCCAGCCAGCACCCTAAAACCTAAAACCAGCCTCTGCTCCAAGGAGTGTTGCAATGATGGGGAAATGCAATGCTGGTTTTCCGGAAGGCTCTGCTCCCCGCCCCCCGCCCCCTTACTCAAGCTCAGGTCACATGACTTCCCATAAAAAGAAGAGGTCAGTTCTTCCGGTGTACTATAAACTGAAGAGTAGTAAAAATCATGTTCATTTGCTGACATCCTGTTCAAGGTGAGCTTAACTGTGGCTGGTAATGCCAGCCTTCGAAGCCGGCCTTTCATTGCTCACCTCCCCATCAGCAGAGGAAATGAACATCACACATAGCTGTTGGGGGTAGCAGCCATCTGCCCACCTGCTCTTCAGGTCACCCCAATGTCCAGACATATACATTTGTGTTTTTTCTCTTCAGGGCAGTTACTTATCTTCTTCAAATCAATCTCCTCCTACGTAACTGGGAGCTGCATTATCTATTATCTCTAACTCAAGAGGCCATGACCAGAAACAAATGAAATACTGAACGTTAAAGTACCGTTATATAAATACAAGGTTCTATATTGCCAACTGATAAATACCATACTATGAGTTAGAGACTTTTAAATGGCATTACCGTTCTGACAAAAGTTATGGGAGATACCAAAAGATTATATGATTCCTATAGTTCTTGAGAGGGTGAACTCACGTGAAAATATTACATAGTTTAGTGTGTGTGTGTGTGTGTGTGTGTGTGTGTGTGTGAATTACATTTTTCCCTCTTGGGTTATTTTATTCTTATAATTAAAAAATCATTTCAATTTCCTGGCTCATAACAGGATATAAATTATATGTCAAAAAATTTTAAATATGAGGTAGATATCATGGAAAAAGTTGCTAATACTACTTACTGATGCAGAAAAATTATTTGAATTATTAGAAAAATAGAAGAGAAAAAATGCCCCCTCCCGCTCCCCAAAAAAAAACAGAAAAGAGGAAAAACAAGATGAGAAACTAAGAAGGGGCTTGGTGGTAGAACCTGGAATTATACAATAAGCCCAAATCAATGTATTTATGAGAGAGACAGACAGAGAGAGAGAGAGAAGAGAGAGAGAGAGAGAATGGTCTGAAGTTCATAAATCAAATTTTCCCACTAAAGCTAGGGATCTCTGACTTCTCTTGAACAATCAGCAGATGAGGACACTCTCCCCTGGGAGCTAAGGTGGGAGCCACGCCTCAGCAGGCACGTCCTGTCCCCCCTCCACTGCCTGGCCCTGATGGAGTGGGAAGCAGTGACCCTAAACAGGTCATGACAAGCCTTGGATGCCCAGCTCCTTGGACTGAGGACAGATGCTGAGAAAGGGCTGGAGGGGAAACAGGGTGAGTTAAAGCTGTGCACTGAGCAGGAGTCCACTGAGCAGGAGTCCGGCAGCAGGGCGCTGCTTCCATGTGTACATGAGTGTTTGTTGGACCCTGACTGCTCCAGGCATCCCAGATGCAAACCCTTAACCCCACGCCGGATCAGTGCTGAGAAGACTCCAGGTGACAGGTGTGCACTCTTATCCGAGAAATCTGCTCCAACACACTTTCTCCAGCCCTGAGGTGGACCTTCTGAGTCACCCTGGAAAGTGACCAGCTCAGATACAGCTTAGGAAACAGTCTACCCAAGGCCAAGCCAGGAAGTAATAGGAAGGGCCTCGAAACACAAGTAACACCTTACCTGGGGCTCATATACCCACATCACCTGCTCCCACAGCAGCGAGGGTGCCACATGACTGCCCAACTTCGAACCTAGACCCTCAGTGCCACTGAGCCAAGCAGGAAGGCAGAGGTGCAGAGGTGGAGGGGAAAGACTTGCCCCATGATGGACAGCACCCAGAATGTTGCTGGCTGGCCAGGGAGACCAGACCTGTGGCCACCTCTTCCCAAGGCTAACAAACTGCAGGAATTCAGGCAGGTAGGCACTGAGCCCAGGTACAGTGTCCGTACGTACTTTCCTTGAACGTGGGAGGTGCTGGACAAGTGGCCACCAAGACCCTGAGTGATTGACCTCTCCCCATGGCAGTGCCGATTCTGGTGAACACCTTCCAGCCTCGGGACTTTTACGTGGCTCTTCCTTTCGGTGGCACACACTCTCTCACCTACTGCCCACTTTCCTGCAGGTCCCGACCTACACATTCTCACTGTCTCAGTGAGCACTTCACGTCCCGGGGACCTCTAACTCGCTTGAGGCTTTTGCACATGCTGTCCCTCTGTGGGCAGGGGCCAGATGTCCTGTTCATATTTTCACACATGCAGCCTAAGCCAGAGCACAGAGCAGAGAAGCACCTCAGCTCCAGATGGTGGACAGACCATTCAAGTCCTTGAGCTAAAGAACAACGATGGAGTCTAAATGGCATGAGGCTGGCCCCATGCCCAGGGGTGGAACAGACCTCTTCCTGTCTTCATGGCTTTGTTCCTCAAGAAGTTCTCTGTTGGACTCAGTCAGCACTTCCAAATCCCCCAGAACCTCCAAAGGGCTTCTTAGCACACACATTATGACCCCACAACTACTGGAAGTCTGAGTGAGCAGATCTGGTCAGCCTGAGATTTCCCCTCTAACAGATCCCAGTGACGCTGTTGCTGCTGGTTCAGGCCCAGGCTCCCATAGGCAGACATGCATGGCTACCTCTACATGCATTCTACTTTGTATGTGTATTCCCGATTCCCGGGGGCTTTCTTTTCCCTACGGGGACAGGAGTGATCAAAAACACTGCCAGGGAGATGAAAGGTGGAGACTGCATGCACTTTCTTCCAGCCATGGACCAGATTTACAGCTAAACTACTTAAAAACCAACTGAAGTAGCTGATCTGAAATAGTGTTTCTAGGCAGCACCGAAGAAGCCATGTAGAGACTGGTAAGAGGAGATGCAGAAAGGGAAAAGCCCCCTCAGGCAGGTGTGGCGGCCGACAGGCCAGACAGATATTGTCCCTGAAAAGCTCCCTCCCCTGGGAGTGTAGAGGCTCAACCCCACACAGAGATCCCCAACCCAGAGCAACAGAGACGGGAAGAGCCTGTGTAGCATTGGGCAGAGGGATTCAGGGGGGTTCTGTCCACCTGGGAGACTCGGACCGCACCTACTGTTGGCAGCCACAGCCAGACAAGTTTGCTCTAGACTCTAACTGCTGGAGAGGTTGTGCACTGTGTTTGGATCCAGTGGAGGGGTCTGTGGGCTGCACCCAGCAGTGACTTTGAGGGACCCTCTACTTTCTGGAAAGGCATTGGGCAGAGAGCCCCGGTCAGTGACTAATCTGTGTGGCTTGGGAGGAAAGGAACATCTCTTCCACACTGAGCACAGGGCCATAGCCCCTCACCCACCTGTGAAGTCACCTGGTCTGCCCAGCCTGCTGGCTGGCAGCACAGGGGAGCAGTGCAGGTCTGGGATTTTAGGCCCGTACTACAGGGTTCGGAGCCCAATCAGAGCTGGAAATTTCTGCCCCACTTTGCGAGACCAGCCGCCCAGAGAGATCAGAGTCCTGCAAGGGGCTGATTTCCTGGCCCCTCCTCCTTGGTTTGGTGGCACAGAGGAGCTGGGATTTGGGGACTGTATCCCCCAAGGAGGCTTCTGTCAGGGAGACAAACAGGCGAGTGCTGAGCTCTGTGACTACACTGTGGAGTGGCAGATCTGAGCTGAGCTTCCTGTGAGTTTCACCTCGCAGGCCCAGGAAGGAGAGGCGGTACCCATCCTCCACTCCTGCAGGCTGCGGACACCACTCCCAACAGGAGACTGTCTGGTTCAGCCTGTGAAGTTCTGGATATCCCCGCAGGGTCAAGTTTTGTGGGGGATGGGAGAGCAGCTCACAGCAGGTCATTCAAAGTGTGAGTCCCCACCTGCAGGCTGGGCCCCAGACATCCTCAACAGGAGACTCTTGATCTATCCCGCTGAGCCCAGGTCGGCCGAACCTGGTGCTGCAGAGGAGACTGCAGACTGTACCCAGCCTGAACCTGCAGTGAGACCCCAGAGTGGGAACTAGAGTTGGAGTCTTTGGCAGAGACTGAAGAGTTTGGCTTGAATTTATCAGAAACAGAGCTCAAACCACACAAGATGCCAATCCAATTAGCCACACACAATGGCACATCCAAAGGGGAATCCTGGCAGGGAAAAATCCCACCTTGGGGGGCAGCCCCTGGACAGCATCTCATTCATGGTGATCAAGGTTTACCTCGATAGACACCCAGTCCAAAAGGTTAATGACTATGCCACTGAGCCCATCAAGATGGTACCTGCCCAGCAGTTTGCATGCCAGGGATGGGGCTGAGCCTCATATTCAGCCAGCCTGAAGGTCGATCCCACCCACAAATAGACCAACATCAATCAAGACCCAATTATAATAGGAGGGTCCAAATAACCCACACAAGAGACATTCCTAAAGCACCCAGCTCAGGAGATCAAGGAGACTGAACCACTGGGTCCCACAGGACACCTACTACAGAAGGCCACCCCATGAAGACTGGTAGTCATTGTAGTCCTA